ATTCTGAATTTGGTCAAACAAATACAAACAAATGACGTACTAAATGTTGGCAAAAGAAAATTTTGGAAAAGTGATATGTGGGGGGCTGGGGAAACGTACGTTCATTAGAATCAATATTATTTGAAATATCTCTTTCAATATTTAGTATTGCCAGTGAAACGGCTGGTTGTACAAGTGAAGATAAATATTATAAAAATGATTAAAATGATATCATTTTATAACTCTTGATAACAATAAACTCACAAAATATTATGTTAAGTATTATCGCCGATAAATAATTACAAGAGTGATCATTTTAGTATTATCATTCATTYATTCGTCACAAGTTCAATATAATAAGCACAATAATTTATATTTAACTATTTTAACTCGACGAAATAATCAAAAATAATACAAATAATTCTGGGGGGGTCTAAGCCCCCCCTAGATACGCCTATGTTGACAACATACGTAAAAATCACGAAAATTCGCAAATTATTATAAGCTAGAAATTCATAAAAAATTTTCTTTTAAAATCTAAGATTTGAAAATTTAATACAAGATTCCTTAGAAATTTGTCAATCTTTATCACAAAAAAAATGTCCACCGGAAATTCAAATTAAATTTTTATTAGCATTTGAATTTCAAATATTGACAAAAATTCGTCAAAACCATGAATATTTGCAGATTATTTTGTAGTTCAAAATTCATAATATTGTTTGTATTTATATCTAAGGTTATAAAATTTAACACCAAGTTTTCCATAAGTTTTGCTTCAAATAGCTATAGAGAAAATTTGAAGTGTYATTATAGGAAAAATGTTTTGATTGTTTGAGTTTTAAATTTTTATGAAATCGCGTAATGATTACGATTTATCCTCAAACCAGGTATTCTTATATCTATGATAATATAACTATATAAGGTATTATGAATTATGATAACTACATGATAACTACACTAATTGATTAACCATGCCTTATGCAAAATGCGACATAATTGAAAAATAAAATATTTATTTCAAAATATAATATAATATGGCAATATTAAAATATAATATATCCTAGACTGACAAATCATCTCCGTTCAGAACCGTTTTTCGTATACAATGATACCTATCATTGCATTCAAATTCAAATTTAATCCCATCCATTACAGTAACCTACTGTACAGCAGAGCGACATCCACGACTTACCCGCTTTTTTTCATTTAATAATATATTTTTAAAAGTTGTCAAAAAGTCATAGCTATCCATAGCCGGTGATCTATAGATACAGAAAAAAATTATACTACTATTTACAATGTTTAAAGTTATTTTTACAATATTTGTCTCTGTTACATCAAACTCAATACAATCTAAACATAAATTATTTTTGTATAAAATTATAACACCATAATTTTGGTTTCTTTTTTTTTGAAAAAAACATGTCATAATCAGGTAAAATTATATTACAGGAATTTGTATCATGTCAGGTTTCAGTTAATACTATAATATCTGGTTTACAAATATTTTTTTCACTTTCAAGTAAAAGTAATAATTCATCTACATTTGCATTTATACTTCTAATATTACAACTCAAAATATTTGGGAATCGTTCTTGTACAATATTATATTTAATTTTAAACTCTGAAAATAATTTGTTTTGTATTCAAAAAAGCTATTTATTGTGCTGATACTGTCCATAATGTAACAAAATTATTTTATTTTATATTTTTACCTCTAGATTATTTTAAACAATTAACTTTTAATTTTATCTAGGATGTTTTCATCATTTATATAGATTGTATTGGAGTTTTCTGATAAATAGTTTATTGTTTTTAAACCACACAAACTTGTAACTGTGTTCTTTGGCTAACATACGAGTTTTATAAAAAAGATTTCTGTTCGTTTGAGTTAGATAATTATTTATATAAATACCATTATTATCCCATTTGTCATTTACATTTTTTGCAGATGGTCTTTTCTTTCTTACTAAATCGATTAAAGTTGCTTCATCTTATTTTGACTTCATTTCCGCCACTATTTTCCCAGACTTATTGTAATATTGTTCATAGTTTTGGATCTTACATGACATGCATTTACTGTAGTTAATTGAACGCCCAGTGCTGATGTAATAGATTCTACAATTTTTCTACAGTTTTCATGTTCTTGTATGGGGGTACTCCAATTATTTCAACGTATTCCCTAGTTGTTATTGTTCTAATATGTTGATTCGTTTATTAACTATATATAATTCGTTTCCTAATTTCAGATTTGGTTCTTTTATTTTTTTGTTTTCCTCTTTTAAATCTTTAACTGCTGTTACCAAAATTGTATCATTATTGTGTTATTATTATATTAATTTTGATTAGATCTAAGTGATTTAACATTTATTTACTTTTTTACGTATTACATTTTATAAACAATTTTTTGATTGACTTGTGATTATATTAATTGTAATTGCTATTTATTTATTAGACTACCTATATTGATTTTGATTAGTTCTAAGTGAATATTCGTGTATACCTTTTTTACGGAACGCAACTAAGGTGACCCCAGTACAGCGTTGCTGAGTTGATCTACCAAACTATTCTTATATAATTGTAATAATAATATTAATACGGAAAATAGGTACCTACCAACGAAAAAATTTTGTTTCTAATTATCTTTTTTTTAAAGAAAAAAAACCTATTTATATATCAATATTATAAATCTTATTTATATTAAATTGGTGGTTGACTGAAGTGAAAATATTTTTTCTCTCAAAAATGAAATAAATGCTGTCACTAATAAAATAAAATAAAATATGTTAACAACATCATTATTTCCTGGTGTCTAATAATGTGAAATGTGATTACTTTTCAAGCCGGATATTGAACAAAAGATACAATTGTGGACTCCAAAACCCATGGTAAATACAACTTCCCCATCTGCATTGCCAATGGAAAATTATATCATTGATGGAAAGGTAAATATAATTAAGAAGATGCTACACTTGCATGTGTTGTCATCAACTTACAAACTTACAAATGGCATATTTAATATCTACTATAATCGAATTCAAAGATAAAAAACTAAAAACGCCAAGTATGTGTATATTTGTACATTATGGCTTCTACGATATTTTGATTTTAAAGCAAGTATTATTTTGTAGGTATATAAAATTAAATTTGCCGTGTTGTACATTTGTAAGATGGAGTCAACATATGTAATATGCTAGTGTCTTGTTCGAAATAATAACCATTACTATAATATGTGTATGCATAAATGTATGTAATTGAGTATTTGTTTTTTTTTTTTCAATTGTTGGTATTAGACTGAACATTATATCACAATTAATGGCAGATCGTGTATAAATTTCGCCACCCACAACTATTTTAATTTTATTAGCGAAAAGTTTATTGAAAACAATGTAGTAGATGCGGTGAACAAATATGGTATTGGTTCTTGTGGACCCAGGGCATTTTACGGCACATTTGGTAAGTAAAACTGTTGCGTCGAATTATAGTTTTCATTTTTTTCTTTTTCATCATAGACACCTTATTTTTATTAGCAATATCACCATACATAATGACGTTTACTCTCTCTTAAATTAATTTTTCAATAAAATGAGAATCAACGAATAATGAATTGTTAATTAATAATTACATTATTTTACATAATTATTATCTTATAGTTAGGTAATGAGAAGCAACCGTTAAAAAAATATTGTTATAAATTCCTGAAAATCGTTTTCATTGTACTTTCACGATGAAAATATATCTTATAAATTAGATTTATAGTAATTAGATTATTACTCTGGATATCTAAAAATAGAAAAATGTAATTTTTACATTTAAATTATCTGTAAATGTAATAGATTAGATCAAAAATAATAAATTATTATTAAGTATTATAAAGTACACTACTATTTAATTTTTATCAAATTTATGATGTTTAAAACGATTTAAAAGATAAACCTTTACTATGTTTATATGAATGGGCTGTATGTAACGGATATTCGCATATGAAGACTCTGACATTAGAGAGAGAGAGGAGTAGAGATCTATTTTTTAACAATGACAAAGCTAAGCATTTAGAAAAGAAGGGGTGTTTTGAAGATGTCGTTTAAACGGCTTAAAAAATTTAAACCGTTTTAAAAGTTAAAACGCTTGCATTATGTAGTTTAAGAATTAAAAATCAATTTAATTTCAAACCGAATTAATGCTATAGTATAAACGTAGTAATTGTTCAACAATACATATTTTATAATTATGTATGTTTTTATTTTTGTGTCTATCATTATCTTTAAGAGCAATAAAAAATCTTTTTAGGCAAATGTGTGAATTTGAAGGTGATGTACTAAACGGATCTAGTTCATCAATAATTTGCATAAGTATTATATTTACAGGGTAGGAACACTATTTTAGTGAGAACCTTGATTAGTGGCTACTATGAAGGAATTTCTCTTTCTAAAGGTTAGATATTGCATTATCTGGTTTCAAAATATAAAGTTTTGATAAAACTGGATCTTTCATGTTGTATCTATTTTTAATTTCTGTTGATGCTTTTAGAAAAAACTCTTTACACCCATAATTTAAACACAATTCTTTAATTAAGTATTAATGTTTTTAAATAACAATTTTACCGTTATAAAAATCATTTTTCGAATATTATCTTTGCATAATATGTCTGGGCGATCAATATGATTGGCAACTTGTATACCTAAATACATGTTTATAATTTGATGCTCTTCACTTATACGATAGTAATACCTAAAATAATAGTAAATTGTGAATATCTTAATAAAAAATGAAATAAAATAAAATTTCAACTTTTACCATACTCAAAACTCAATAGTTAATGGTTTATCATAAAATTATAAGGCACATAATTCAATTTTAGTTTTTATTACTTTGTGAATATAGACGACATTTTGTACTTAATATTTAAAATAAACGTAACATTTTAATTAATCAATGTATTGGCAATAATTTAAATATGATTGTAGGATAACTATAAATATTAATGAGATTATACATGCTCTTATAAGACTTTTAATATATAATTAATTGTTAAGTAGACTTTAACTCAACAATTAATATTTTTAATATTTCAATTAAATATATGTTTTTTAATAAAAATAGATAGGTATATCATAATAACATAAAATATTTTAGACTAGCATAAGATATAGTACGTATAATAGTATGGTGTTTAGTTAARAATTGATTTGTAATTCCTTCAATGTCCTCAATAAAGTTTTCTACTATATTCAATATTTCTGGATTATTGAATGAATCCACTTTTAGATTTAAAATAGTATTAGAATTAGAAGTATTACTCGTGCTAACACATACACATGGTGGCTTTCGTGATTTTTTAATATTTTCTAGATAAATTGGGCCTGATTGGACTATTCCTTCTTTTAGTCGCCACTAATTGTACGAATCTAAAATAAGCCAATATTATTGAATATACATTTTTTTTTTAAATTAAAATTAATTTMTGTAAGTAGGTACACAGGAAAAAATAATCAATAGTTATAGTCTGTTGCACTGTTTAAGATATAAGGTATATCTTAAATCATAGTCTGTACTCTGTAGGCATTATATTTCAAGTAGGTACCTACGTACCTTAATTGTGCAAGATTCCCAAAACTTCAAAATATTATCCTCTTTAAAATGCTTTTCGCAGACATATGATTTTTCAGTGAGAATAAAATATTTTCTCGGAATCTTCATCTACCATTTTTTTCTAAGATCAAGCTCTTTGGGAGCACAAATTTTATAATATTTTTATTTATTGCTAGTGYACCCCGAAGTACAGCCCACAACTACACTCAAATAACTTTGATATTAGCATCAATTATTTATTTTTATGATTACTGAAACAATTGTTTTCTATAAATTTTGATACAAGAAAAATGTCTGGACCAAAATCTTAAAAATATAATACCATTGATTATAAATAATTATATTATTAATTATTCTTTAGTTAGATACTTTGATGGTTCAATTCTTATATACTGAAAAAGGGTAATTGTGATTGATATGATTTTAATTACATAGCATAGTGGCGTACAATAATTTTAAATTGTTATGTTGATTGGAGAGCTAAGGAACGAGTACATGTATTTTTTGGTATACAATACGTAAATTAAAGTTATAAAAAATTTAATAGTAATTAGAAATTTTTTTTAGATATACACATTGAACTGGAAGAAAAGATCGCTAAATTTATGGGAATGGAAGAAGCCGTTATATACTCGTACGGGTTCTCCACAGTGACCAGCGCTATTCAAGCATACGTTAAGTCTAGGGACATTGTATACGTGTATGTAGTAAATAGACACTATATGACATAGCCAATATGACACTAGAATCACCTGTAGTGACTGTTTTTCTATTGTTAATAAGATTGGAACGTTTTTAGGGATGAAGAAGTGAACTTTGCAATACAAAAAGGTCTACAATCTTCTAAAGCTGAACTGGTGTACTTCAAACACAATTGCCCAGAAGACTTGGAACGATTAATCATGGAGAACAATTCAACAGTAAGTAATCTTCCAAAACTGTGGAAAATGATAAGATAAATTCATCATCATTCATAAAACGAAAAGGCCTATCTGATCTTTGAACGATACAATCGAAAATTATTTGTGTGGGACTTAATGCTAATCACCACATTCAATTGACAGTTAATTATATAAATTATAAGTGTAGTTTGGAAAAATATTTATAACGCTTGTAAATCTATTTTATTTTAACAAAAAATATACTACAGCACAATGCTTCATATATTAATCTTGGCTAAATATAGTATAATTAAAAATAAACCTCACAGTTTTTCTCACGCAGTCGTTGTGTACAGTCATGTGTCTCGCGTTTTGCTGATAAAGTTAAATATTCTATCACAGGTCCTGGTTTTCAGTTAGTCGGTAATAACGGTAAGCCACTAAACAATTTGTCCATCCCGGCCTCACTAAGCCTCCAGCTAATTGACAATCTTCCATCTCTAAACGTATCTAATGTGTCTAGCACGGCTTTCAATTATAATAATATTTCAACGCAAGCCGATAATTCGACTGGGTCAATGGTCATGGACGTGAACGACAACGATAACGGCCTCTCTAATGAGATCGTTACCGGTTCCTCGTCTCCAACACCGCCTAGCTTTTCTCTACAAAAAAATACAATGATACCTTTAATAATAATAAATATGTCAATATTCTACAACAATCATTTTCATCAGACTATATTGGGCCTGTAAATGTTTTAATTGAGAGCTCCGATGAAAATACAAATTTAGGAAWCTGGCATCCTTTTGGGTCGCTAAATTCTTTTCGAACAATTTTATTAACATTAAGCCCGTGGGCTCTAAAAAAATTAAAATTACTTTTGATACTATCATAGATGGTAACCTCTGTATAAATTCTAATATTTTAAAAGAAAACAATTACAATGCATGCATATATTCTACGCTTATTTTTTTCGTACGGAATAATTAAATTAGACAACACTGTCTCGGGAATTAAATTATTCAAAAGTGTCAAGTCTCATGTTACTATTGATGCTTTCAAGCGTGTCAACATCAAAAAAGATGAAAATATCGTATAGACTCGCATTGTTGAGTTAAAATTTGTTGCTCCAAAAATTCCATCGGTTATCTCTGTTTTCAACATGGTTTTCGAAGTTAAGCCTAGCATCCGGTCCCCCGTCCAACGCAACCGCTGCCTACGTTTCGGCCGTACTCAAAAATGTTGTCGCAGTGTTCCCAGATGCAGCCATTGCGGTGAAACCAAGCAATCGATCGAATCCTGTTCCTACTCTCAAGCCACCGATCCAGTATGTCTTTTCTGCAAACAACCTCATCTTGCCACGGGTCGCAGCTGCCAAGAATGGTCAACCAAAAAAGAAATTAAAAAAAATATGGCCCACGAAAATATTTCTTATAAAGACGCAATCATTTTTAAGAAAAATAATTGTTGTTATACTGCTTTTTCATTAAATTGCCAGCCTCTTATTTCTGAAATCTTAAAGCCTTATACCTTTCTTCATGAAGAAAATATACCCAGATTTACCTTCACGTTCCCTAACAATTCCACTGTTCAAAACCTATAGGTCTGATCGACCGGATGGGTATGGTGGCGGAGCCATAGTTATACACAATGCCTTTAAATCTAAACTGATCTCTATTGACATTGCTACTAGAAACAAATACATTAGTCACAAAATTGACATCATTGCGTCGAGATTTTCTCAGTGAACTCATCTTCTCCCTTAAAAGTTTGGTCTCGCTATGTCCCCAATAGTTCTAACGTTTCTACCGACTTGTGGCTGGACGTATTCAACCTTGTCTCCCATAACACATTTCTCGGTGATAATTTCAATGCCTTTCATCTTGCCTGGGGCTCTGGTTCGGTATTACGCCGTGGTAACTAGATTTATGGTACTATTAACTCATTAGGACTTTGTATACTGAATGATGGCAGCTCCACACATGTCGGTCGTCTTGACTCAACTAGCAGGGATTTATCATTTTATTCCCTTGATCTTATCTGGAATCTATGATGGCAAACTCTAAATGAGCCTCATGGTAGCGATCATATTCCTATTATTTTAACAGTGAACTTCAATCCAACCACCCTCCATACGTCATCAAACATCAATTTTGATGACATCCCAATCAATACCAGACCCTTCAACTATTATAAGACTAACTGGTCATCTTTCCCTCTACAAATTCAGAACTTAATATCCTCTCTTACTGATTTCTTGCACTCACTTTCATATTCTACCCTCACCAGTATCATTAGCAAGTCTGCCGAATCTACTGTACCAAGGAACAGATCAAATACAATTTTTGCTAACCTTCCCCTCCCCGGGTGGAATCCCCTTAGCAATATTCTRACAATTCAGTAGATACTTACCTCTTGGATCATTTATTGTGTTATGCACATTACTAAATCAAACTCCAACACTTCTTTTCGTCCAATCACACTCTCATCTTCTCTATGTAGAGGTTTTGAATATTTGCTGAAATCCAGGCTGGATTAGTGGTTGGAATCCAACTTTATCTTATCGGCAAACCTGTTTGCATTTAGGAAAGGTATGGGTACCATGGAATGCCTATCAACACTTATTGGTAATATTTACCATTCCTTTAATAATAGAGAATTTCTCGTTGCCACTTTCATCGATATTCGTGGCGCCTTCGATTCTGTTAATGTTCCTGCCCTCATCTCCCACCTTCTCTCATTGAATGTCCCTTATATATTTTGTAATATTTAATTTTATTTATTAATTTTAGAAAACGTACTTTCTCTTCTCCTTTTGGATGGAAGTCGATGGACTTCTCGTTATACTTTTACTGGTCTCCCCCAGGGTAGCTTTCTCAGCCCAAAACTATTTAACGTTTATATGAGCATTGTTGATAAGCATCTCTATCACTCGGTCATAAATGCCTTATTTATGCTGATGATCTAGTCATTTTCTCTTCAAATAAGTTCAACAATATTCCCATCGAGAACATCAATTCTGCCCTAAAGGATCTAAGGACTATCCTAATTAAATKGTCATTTGAAGTTGCTCCTAAAAAATGAAAATCAGTCATATTCACTCGCTATGGAAAATTAAACCATCTTAATATATATTTTGATAACAATATTATACCTTTTGTTCCTAACATTACTTATTTAGGCATCATCCTTGACCCCAAACTTCGTTGGTGATCACATATTATTTCACTCACAGCATTCGCTTCTATTTGGCCTAACTCCTTAGATAAATATAAACTGATACCTGGTGGGACATTCATCCCTCATGTTAATTATCCATTTACTTCTCAATTATACGCTCTAAACTTGACTATGGTTGCTTCGTTTTTGGATCTGTTTCTTTCTCTAATTGGAAGAACTTAACAAACTTCAGATCTCCTGCCTTATAACCATTATGGGATATTTAATTTCCACTCCATGCCCGGTCATTGAAGTTGAATCTGTTGTACCCTCCTTTCGACATCAGATTTCGCTGGCTTACTGGTAAATTTATTTTGAAATCTTTATCTCATAGTAATCACTCGATTGTTGACATTTTTTATTCATTGTATCTGAATTGGTGCTATGTCTCCAAATCCACTTCAGTCTTATCTATTATCACAAATGCAGTTTCGTGTTTCCACCAATTCACCATCAACTCAGTTAAACTTTCTCTTTATGAGCTTCCTTATGACTCTTTACTATGCTCCCCTCATGTTCGATTGGGTCATCAGTTTTCTGACCTTTCCTCTAATAACTTAAATCAATGTCTTATTCCATGGTCAATGCAGCTTTTTCAAACTATCTTAGTATAAACTTTCCTGACTTTATTATTATTTATACTGATGGTTCAGTATCACCCATTTCTGCTGGCTATGCATTTTTCATTTCAGAATTATATATATCTTTCACAAATAACCTCCCACCATTGTCTTCCTCTTTCTCAGCTGAGTGCTATGCCATCATTGAGGTCGTGACATAATTCTAAGTTTTTCCCTGAATAAATATTTAGTAGCCATTGACGCTATGTCTTGCCTACAACCTTTAGTTTCCAACACTTTCAACTCTCACCTTTCCCCTCTTGTTCTTCGGTTTTCAATCTAAATTAATCAAACTACATTATTCACTTCCTTTGGATTCTCAGTCTCATTGGAATACGTGGTAACGAGATCGCCGATAATTTAGCTAAATCCACCTTCTATCTAAATTGTCCCTCTCTTATACATCTACTACAATCTGACTTTATTCCATTTTAAAACGCTACCTATCTAGTCTATGGTCTTCTTATTGGTATAACTCATCGACTGAGTTCGCTTTGAGATATAAATATACAACACCTGACATCATTAAAAAAACTTGGTTTAATAATCTTAAGTTACAAAGATTACATATAGTCCACTTTAATCGTTTACATATAGGACATTCCTCATTACCTAGTCACTCTTTCAAACTTGGACTAAATGACTCGCCATTTTGTACACTTCATTTATATAAGTGTATCTGTGACCTCTCTCATATTTTATTCAACTGTTCTGCCCTCCGGCTTAAACGACAAATTCTATTAAACACTCTTAAATCCCTTAAAAATTCCTCTCAATCTTTACTCCATCTTAAACACCAAATCTGAACCAGCTATTAAAATGATCACCTTTATACTGGAGGCTGGCTTCATAGTATATAAATATTAATCTGTGTTAATCTTAACTTCATACTGTTTTTTTTAATCAGTATGACCACTCATAGTTATCACCAAATGCAGAACTGTGCACCATCTGGCTTTATCCTATATCATATAGTTATAATAGCACCAGTGATACTAAGGGTTTAATATTATAATCTGTGATATCATATTTATCATTTAATAATATAATAATAAATTGTCTATTAATATCAAATAATTAACATTTTTAAATTAAAAATCATTGGTTGTAAAACATTTAGTTTAGATAAAAAAGAATTAAAAGAAGAGCTGTCTTTAATATAAAATTTTTAAAAAACAGTGAGATAAAAGATTCATTTGAAAATAGAACAGATTAAAAAAAAAACAATTGAAAGGTGGATTTGAAGATTATAACAAATGTTTAATTATAATTTTGTCGATTCCGGCAAATACAGCTTCAAATTAAAGAAGTTTTACTTCGTTAAAGAAACTAAAAACATATCTATGATTTACTAGGTGCCAAAAAAAACTGAGTAGTATTGCAGCTTTCTATACTGAAAGGGATAGAGAAGTTAATTTTGATCAAGTAATAGATGAATTTGAMAAAGGCGCATCAATTTGTAGTCGACGAATTTTATTGGAATAAAATATTAATATTAATGTATAAAATGTTTACTATCACAATTTTAATGAATTCTAATAAGACGGTTATCTGTTTTATATGCGTTTTCTATGTTAGTACGTATAAGTTTTTGAACTGTAATTATATACTTTTTGTTTTTATATTTGAATATTGTCTAAAACTAACTAATAAATTTAATAGTCGCTGATTTATTATTGAAAGGGACAAAGCTATTTTTTTATTTTTGATACTTACCTTATAGATTTTTAGTTTTACCACAAGATTCCACTCCCCTCTCCAACATTTTACTTTAGATTACGCCTATGCATGCGTTCATCATTATGTCCTGATAACGTAGTTGTACAAATTAAACTTGAATACTCTTTTAAATTTTTTTGTAACTATTCTGTGTTATATAAATTTTAAATTCTGGTATAATTTACAGAAGAGAAGAAGAAACAGAAGAGCATTTCTAATTGTTGAAGGAATTTATATGAACACCGGGAATATTTGCAACTTGCCAAAATTTATTGAAATTCGAATAAAACATAAAATCCGTATATTCATTGATGAAACCATATCATTCGGCATTCTTGGCGAAAAAGGTCGAGGGATTACTGAACACTTCAATATCCCGGTAATTGCAATTTTGTAAAATATACCTACTTTAAGTAGGCTACTTATATTTTAAAAGTATTCAAGTACAGATACAGATACATATTTCAAAAAGAATATAAAATATAAAATTTATTATTTTAGAACTATTTATAAATACTATCAATTTTTTTTATAAATACATATTTTGTTTTACCTTATTAATCAACTGAAAAGATTTTCATGTTTTATGTAAGAAAATTGAATTGGTTGTTATGCAATATATTACATTATGTGTAGGTAACTGTTAAAGCAGTTGGTACTCACCAAATTTTCGCTTGAGTATAATTTACAGTAGAAAAATACAATATTATTATAAATTCTCCAATTCCGATTTAAAATAAAAATAAAAAGGATATTATATTATTATAAAAAGGAAACCAAAAAGGATATGTATTTTTAAATACAGATAGATACTTCAACAAATATTAAAAATACCTTGTCCAACTTTCCACTTACATTTTTCAAAAATGATTAAAATATGTATTAGAATAATTTTATTTATGTACCTAGGTATTTAACAAAACTGCCGCTAAGAATATTAAAAATTCTATTTAGTTTTCAAAAGGAAATGGATTTTTTCAACTATGAAATAAAATAACCTGTTGTTACTTGTTTTTATATTTTAACATTTGGATAAATTAATTAGTTAATAAATAAAAAATTATTGTATGATATTAGATTTATTTTTCTATAGGGAAAATTGAGGAATTATATATATATTTTTTTTTATACTTTTGATGCTATTTAAGATTAAAAAAACCGTGTGTGTATGCAAGCACAATACTATAATAAATTACTAACCTAGAAAAGGGGTCACCAAATGGTAAATTGTGGACAAATCTTATCTGGCCCGCAGACAAGAAAAAAAAAGTAAAAACCGATAATTTTTTACATTCTGGTTTGTAATTTATCGATTTTCTTCATTTGTTTTTACCAACGTCTACAATTTTGATGGCCCATTAACAATTTCAAGATTTCATATTTGGCACTTCATAAATATTAATAGGTGCCTATTGACCTATATATTACGGCTTAGTTTTCTATGAAATGATAAATTTACAAAATATTGATGTGAATGATAAAGTATATTATTTTTTATTTACTTTTTTGTAGAAAGACGAAGTTGACTTGATCATTGGAAGTTTAGAAACAGCGTTGTCGTCAGTTGGTGGTTTTTGTGTAGGTTCAACATTTGTTGTCGAACATCAGAGGCTGTCTGGTCTTGGTAATGAATACATTTTATATAATTATTTTTATAAGTTTGTTTTTATAATAAAAATATGTCATAGATGATTAAAAATACAAATCAAATGTTGTAATGCCAGGGATATGGAACAAATTTCCTTTTTAAGAACTAAAAAATCGACATTTTTACAACATTTTGTGTTAGGTAGATACTTGATTAGTACTAAGTACATTTTTTTATTATCATTTTTTATATTTCTTTCTCCAAGCATGTACAATTTTTTATCAAAGCAATGTTCAATCAATTTGACTTTAAGCCTTTATGTTTCTAAAAGATCAATTTTCCAAATGGCCTACGACATATATCAGCGTTTGAAGGGCCCCTCCACTTGTCCAGACCACCTGGACTCCTCGTTAATTTGCCACTGAATATTTTTATAAAAGCATAAAATACTTTATTAGTTAATTTTACATTTGAAGGTACTTTAAGGTAGAATATGATGTTTAATGTAGGTATTACATTTTCAGGTTACTGTTTTTCTGCATCGCTACCACCACTACTATCAGCGGCCGCCATCAATGCTTTGGATCAGATTGAAAAACATCCCGAAATGTTGTTAAAACTTCGAGAAATAAGCTCAAGTCTACATAACAGATTTTACAATAGTCAACTGACCAAATATCTTACTCTTGGTTCTGATGAATTTAGTCCACTCAAACATTTGTACCTAATAGATAAGTCTCTATTGCACGCAGAACAACAGAAAATATTGAAAAAAATTGTTGATTACGTAAGTCATGGATGTTGGACCTAATTTAGAAGATACTCATATGATTAAATTTTTATCGTCTTTCTACATAATATGATCAGATAAACTATTTTGACATTAATAAAAACTTATGTTTAGTGTGATAAATGGTAATTGCACCAGGTGTAAACCTACAGTGGACAGTATAGGTAAATAAGTTGTGGCTGGATTTTTATGCAAAACGTATGTAAAATATGACTTATTAATGTCCATAAAATTTAAAATACGCTTATAGCATTTTATAGTTGTTACATAGTATATTGTTTATTTATCTTATTTATTTATATTAATCCGTTATCACTTTTATTTTTATTTTATTTTATTCCGTTATTACTTTTTTTGTTTTTTACTAATTTTGAGACAATGTAGGGATCGGTCGAATGGGGTAACAAAACACGAAGAGGACTGATAGAAATCTTTAACATTCTGACATAGCAGAATTTATGGGGAAATCAAGACTAAACAAAAGTGATCCATTTTAAATCATCTTAAAATATATAGCAGCATTTAGAAATCACGAAATCACAGAAACCATAAACATTTCTATAAATATTTTAATTTATCATTGATTTATAGATATACCATATGTTAATGACTATTGTTTGCCTTTAATATATTAGACATAACACGACAATTTAATTAGTCCGTAAACACTTTATTAAAATACAGTGACAACAAAGTAAAATTATAAACAACAACAAAAAGAAAATAACACTAACGAATTAGCGTTMTGCGTACTTACGCTGCCAGTTGAATACTAACAAAAAAAAAAAGGAAACACTGCTCTCACATGACCATTAGGCAAGAAAAACAATTTTTCAGAGTGACCACTCTTCGCATAATTAATTTATATCAAATATATTCATTATTATATTTTAGATTCTGAACGGAGCGATGAATGTATTGATTTTACCATGATGTGTATTTATTTTATTTTATTTTTGTAACTGTCATCACGTTTTTGGGCAGTAAAAGTGCTTCGATTTTTGACTTCAGAACCTCGTTCGATCAGAAAGTGAATCTAGTTGGTACTTTGGGAGTTCAAAAGTGAAAAATTCTTAACACTTTTCTAAATAATCGAGAAAAACAAACTAAAAATTAAGGGAAAAAYGGGAAATTTTACGCACACTCATTTTTCGACAAAATCGATTTTGGTTTTTGATGTAACTTTAAAACAAATGACCATGAAATTTTTACCGAATGTTTATATAAGTATATACTATCTACCATATAATTTTCAAAAAAATTTGACTTAAGTTGAACTATTCATAGGCATTTGAAATTTTTGAACATTATTAGTTTTTTTWAAATTAATATCGATAAAAATGTATATGTTAGGCAGAGAAGCTTGAACATTTAATACAAGGCTCTTATCATATTGTTACAATAGCATTGCAGTTGAAAAATAAAATAAATTCATTGTCACAATTTTTTTTTATAAG